GTCTACACCCAGGCTGCAAAATGATAAAAAGGGGCACTGCTACCTGTTCCTGAATGATAAGAGTGTGGGGAGGAGAAAGGAAGAAAGGAACAGGGGTAGTCTGGCCAGCACGGCTTCAGGTCACAGCCAATCGGCAACCACACAGAAGACGCAGCAAAGAACAGGTTACACCTGTCACCTGCCGGCTTCTCTGGAGATACCTTTTTTCCCTGCAGAAGGTGAATGGCCCAATTCAGGAGCAAGACAGCAGATGAAATGGCTGGTAAGTAAACATAATGCCACCATCCCTTGTAAATCTAGCTTCTTTCTTGCAATGTTTTCAGACTATCGGTAGACTTGAGTCAATTTGCTTCTTGAATGAGTGGGGAAGATGGGACCATGCGGTTATAAGGTCTCCATGGCCTCACACAGATTAAGAGTAGACTTCATGTACTCTCTTATTTCTTAATTGAAATACTTGCCAATTTGATTCATTCAGAGAGCAACTGAGCAGACAAGGGACCATCAAATCCACTTTTTTATTTAGTTCAGTTTTTTCAAAACACATCTAATGAGCAACTTCTCCATTGCTGGGCATGGGACAAAATTGAAACAGAAGAATCACAGTTCCCTTAGTAGATTATATGTTTATGAACAACTCAGGCTAAAATGTGTCTCCAGAATATATGAGAAATAACAAGAAGATAAGGAAGTGAGATATTTAAAAGGTGTGAGAGGGACGTTTGGAAATATGTTTGTATTTAATGTAATTAGAAAACTGTATATATGACATTAAGGGCAGCAATCATTTGTTGAATTTCTACCAAGTGCCTGGCATAGTTCCAGGACAGCAGGACGGGGGCTGGGGGCTGGGGGGGGGGGAAGGGGGATGCTGGTGTGGGAGAGGAAGATGACATGCTCTCAGTCTTGCTGAGCAGACAGCCTTGTGGATCAACTCTAACGCAAAGTAATATAATTGAGCCCTTCGCCTCCCCTCTGAAGAAAAATAATTCCTTCCTTCCCCCCATCCCACTTTTCCCACACCCATCCCTGCCCCAAACTCCAGTCAGGCCATTTCAACCCAGTTCATGATTCTCAGCCAGGAGGTGAGGGATGAGGCCATTTCAGATTATCTCCCTGTCCCCCAAAGGAGATTTATTCGTGATTCCACTCTCTAGGTGACTCAGAGGTAGGATTCAAACAACTGATCTCATTAGAATCCTAATCCCTCTAAGAATCTTTTCTTCAACCAAACCTGGTAATGAGCTGCTTTGATACTGGTTCTTGCTGCTTTGGAATCCACAGGGTGGTGGCCCTGCAGCATCCCCGTAGGATCTGTGGTCGTTAAGGTGAGTTTCAAAGCAGGTGAAAGAGGCTTCCAGGGTTGGGGTGTGGGGCAGCAGAAAGAAAAGAGGCAATGCTAAGTCAAGCAAGTGAAAGAGTTTCTTCTTTCTAGAAAAGGGAATGAGACTAGTGGAGAGAAACGGAGGTGACACGTGACCCTGCTGGTGAGTAGACACAGTCCTCCACCCTCAGGATCAGAGAGAGCTAATGGGGGTAGAGGGATCGTGGTGGAGGGCCTTGGAGCCAATGGGAATGACCAAGACACGTGTTTAGGATGTCCGAAAACCAGGGGTGGGAGAAGGGGTCGGGGAGATAAGGGAGATTTGGGTACAAAAACTAGGCTAAAGGGGGTGCCTCTGCTGAGGAAGGCCAGGAGATAACCAAAGGCCAGAAGCTCAGCCTGCAGTGTGGTTGGGTGGGGAGGACATTGCAGGGTGGGAGGAAACACCAGAAAGATTATCCTCGAGGAGATTCCCGGGCCCTGCAAAATCTGTCTCAACTACCTCACGCCAGCCTTGGAGAGCGGGTCTGAACAGGAAGTTTTATCCAGCAAAGTCCTTAGCAATTTGGTGCAGGTAAAGGGCAACGGGCCGGGAATGAGAAGACTTGGGCTTGAGTAAGACTCGGGGGGCGGAGTTCATTTCACCTCCCTAACCTTGAACTTTTTCCGCTGCCAAATGGGGATTGTGAAGTCTGTTCTGTCTCTCTCAGGGTTTGGGGGTGAGGGGCTCAAATTGGATAACACATATGAAAGGGCTTTGTGAATGGTGAAATGATGAACACACGTAAGGGGTTCTGACTGTTTGTCTTCTTCTCTTCCTCGAGGGACAAAGTAGTCATAGTGATGACAGAGGGTGGACTGGCCTTCTTTGTTGATTCCCCACCATTAAAATTGCCAGGGTCCATTGACATATATACATTACCAAACGTGAAATAGCTAGCTAGTGGGAAGCAGCCGCATAGCACAGGGAGATCAGCTCGGTGCTTAGTGACCACCTAGAGGGGTGGGATAGGGAGGGAGGGAGGGAGGGAAGCTCAAGAGGGAGGGGATATGGGGATATACGTGCGCATATAGCCGATTCACTTTGTTATACAGCAGAAACTAAGACAACATTGTAAAGCAATTATACTCCAATAAGGATGTTAAAAAATAAATAAATAAAATATAATATTATTGAGATTTTTTTTTAATTGCCAGGATCCTCATGCTATTTTTAGATACCATAGAATGTTCATTCTTTGCACCACCCTTTATGGCATAAATTCTCAGACATGAAAGAATTCTCTGGCATAAACATTCTCTTATTTCATGCAAGGAAAAAGAATCAAAAACGTTGGGGTGATTACGGTTCTGTCATCCTACTGACACAGTCTGAGACTTGGCCTCTGTAAAGCACAGTGGTTGAAAGAACAGTTGCTAGAGGCAGACTACCTGGATCTGAACCCTGGCTTCCCCATCTAGTAGCTGTGTGAACTGGGCACGTTACTTAACTTCTCTGAGCCTTGATTCTTCATCTGCAAAATGGAGATAACAATAACCTTGGCTTCGTCAGCTTGCTGTAAAGATTAAACGAGTATACGTATGTAAACTTATCCCTAACTCAGATCAGTGCCAGGCTCATAGTAAGAGCTCAATGGATGTGAGCGTCCGTGACACTGATGACGGAGCTATGTGATGCTGATCATCAATGACGATGACGATGACGGTGACGGTGACGATGATGAAAAAGATAGTTGTGGTGGCGGTGACGGTAGTGATGATGGTAATGATGGCACCTCCCCAAGCATAATCATCCCCTTTACCCAGCATTTCTTCCCAGGAACCCAAACCACTTCACACATACACGCACACACACGCAAGCAATGTCTCATCAAAGCGGATGTTTTAATTATAGATGACGGTCAGGGCACTGGATATGAACTTAAGAAACAATCATCTTGGGGCCCCACTGACTCATTTCATGTCACGAGAAGAATCCCTCCATCACCGAATGACTCACCTTCTCTCCCTCTCCTTACATGGGAAGAACGTGGTGGTGCAAGAATAAATGGCTTTATTTTGTTAGACAGCTTTGAACTTGTTGGATGAAAGGAGCTGTTTAAGTACAAAGGAAGAGGTGACGGTGTTTGGGCCAGGTGCTAAATTAAGACTGATCAAGATTGCTCTTTCTTATTGGGACCTACTCTTGGGTAAGTACCTTAGGGATGCATCACCTGTACCCAGACACCTTTACGCTTGGGAAAAAGAGCAGAGGCACCATGGAAGGGAAGGGAGGAAAGGGTAGACAGCCTCTGACCTTCCAGATCTTCCTATGATGGAAGTCTTGATGGCTCTTAAGCAAATCAGTCCTGTCTACACAGACGGTGGCCAACAGGTAGGATTCTGGGCTTGAGAGCAGTTGGAGGTACAGCAACCAAGGCCTGGCTTAAGCTCTCTCCACCCCGGGACTTGGGACTGTTGTCACTCCCGCATCAGGACGGGCTGGACTCAACAACCATCAGCTGGACTTTGTAAATTTCTCAGCAAGCTACTCTGATTCAGAGAGTTCACGGAGTAGAGAAGGAAGACAAGAACGAGCTGCTGGAGTCAGTGTGTTAGCTCCACTTATAGTTTCACTGATTAATAAGACCTAGAAAGAAGGGAGTCATCGAATTTGGAGGCTAGAAGACCCCTACAACCATCTTATCCAGCTCCATCAGCTGCCTGAGCGACCTTCTCAATGTCCCCACCAGGTGGTTATAAAGGCCCTCCTTGAATGCCTCCAGCGATGGGGAACTCACTGCTTGGTCAGCTCTAATGCTGGTTTCTGAAGACATGCTCTTCTCATCCATGGCTGCCTAAATATGGAGCTTCTGGTTCATGTGGCTATTGGCTGCAAGTTCCAAGCTGGGCGGCTGCCAGAAGTACTTGCCAGTGGAGCCTGTGGGGGAGCTTTGGGTGGGTGACTTTGATTGACCTTTTCTAGACTGATGGTGTCACCGGCTCAGCAATTTAACATGTTCAGCACTATCTCAATGGGATAAACAGTTCCTCACCCATGAGATCAGGAGAGTGAGGCCCATCCCTTCTGCAGTGGGTCTGGCCAGTCGGGATCTTACTTCACAAATAAACCCCCCTTACACGGTGATTCTTAAACTTGAGTGTGCATGGAATCACCTGGAAGCCTCGATGAAACAGACTGCTTATTAAGAAAGTCTGGGGTGAGGCCCAAGAGTCTGCATTTCCAGCATGTTCCCAGGGGATGTTGGTACTACTGGATGGAGGAAAACACTTTTAGAACAACCACCCTAAACCTTCTCATGTTTAATTTTTTGCCCCTTCAAAGCTTTCAAAGTATGGGCTTTGGATCTACTTCAAAGAAACTGGGGTTCAAGCCTTGATTCAGCTACCAGCTGAAAATAGTAACAGCCGCTCCCTCTTTGCAGGGTTTTTGTGGGACCCTGTGTCACCGTGTCTATAAAGCCCCGACACGGTGCCTTGCGATGGCTTCATCCAGATTAAAGGGGGACTTTATTTAGTCTGAACGAGTCTGTATTTTAAAAGCTCTGTGAATCTGGCTCTAAACAGGCTTGGTCAGGTCAAGAGCTGGGTATCCCTCATCTGTGCCATCTTGCTGCAGTTCCACTTTTAACCACGGTCCTCACTGGCTTTGCCATCTTCCAGAACCACTCTGGTGAGTGAGCCACAACCCCTGCTTCTACAGGAACGGTTGCATCAAGGTCTGGATGGAGAAACAGACCAGCAGGCACTGGACTCCTTATGCTGCAGAAGTAAAGTTTATTAGCAAAATAAAAGCGAGGTTACCCTCCCCATCTCAGAGAGATCAGGAGGCAGCAGAAGAGAGAAAATGGAGCAGTCAGGACATCCTGAAGAGAGGAAGCACAAATCCAGGGGCCAGGGCTGAGCTACCGGGCTGGAAAGCCCGTCAACAGAGAAGCACTGCCTGGCTTCAGTCTCCCCCAGGCTGGCTGGGGAAGAAAGGCCTCCGATGGCAGGACTGGGGGTTGGAGCCAAGGGACTACAGACATCTCCCATTTTCTGGCATCTCTGGCTGAGGAGTAATTCAGCATCGAGGCGATGAGCAGGGCCCACAGGAGGCCCGAGAAGGCCCGAAAAGGCAGGGAGAGCAGGGGGTACAGGCTGCAGGGGCCGCACAGGTGCTGGAGGCTAGGGTCGCGCACATGTTGCAGGGGAGCCTGCAGAAGAAAAAAAGGTGCTTAAATATTGGCATGAGAAGTGTATGAAAATCCAAAATAAATAGGCACTTTAGAATTGGAAGAGAAAAGGGGGCTTAGATGGTACAGGTCCCTCTAGGCCTAGAGAGGGGAGTGACTTGCCCGGAATTCACAGTGAGGCTGCGGCCAGAGCTCAGAGCGCCTGTGTGCAAAGCCGGTGGCCGGCCACTCCCTTCATTTAAACACAGCCCCTGGTCCTGTTCCTTATTTCTCACAAGGGTGTACTATCTGTCCTACCTTTGTCACAGCGTTACTGAGGAACTAAAATGAGAGAATAGATACCACTGCCCCATGCAATATTTTTAAAAGCTCCTGGAATATTCCAGAGAGAATTTAGCAAAACCTAAATGCACAGAGCCCTCAGTATTTTAGCCCCTGTGGGAGTGATTAGCACCTGGGAGCATAACATGGGCCACAAAATGGACGGCATGAGCTGCAGAGGCCCTGCACACCCTCCTCTACGTCCAGGCAGCCCACCAGGCTTACTGGGTAGCAAGTTTGTCCCCAAAGGTGGGGTCTGCAATGCCACGCCTCCTTTTGAGTCATTCCTAATAAGAGGTCTCTGCTTTCACACATGATATTGACACAAACAACATCAGGCTACATACTTACAGTCCTCGATCTCCAGAAGGTTCCAACATGTGGCGATCTCACCCTCCAGCCAGGCCTTGACGTCCAGTAGCACCTGGTACTCCTGGCTCTGCCGCTCCAGGTCAGCCCGGATCTCCGACAGCTGAGCCTCCACGTCGCTGGTGAGGCACTGCATCTGGGCCAGCTCAGTGCCGAAGCGGGCCCCGGATTCACACAGCCAGTTCTGCAGACCGGAGAAAGAGGGAAAGAGGTTAAAAGTCATCGACCCTGTCCTCAGTCTCTTCAGAAAGACTATGACACCCCAAGCCATTGCCAGGCCCCAAGAAAAATCCAGTCCTCAGCTGTGACAACTAGCAACGCGCTGTGACTCTTCCTCGTAGACCTTAGGAGACGTTTGCAGAACCTCCCTCACCACATGAATGTTCTTGCGTCCCCATCTACGAGAGTGTTCTTGCAAAGGTGAGGAATCAGGTTAAAGCTGGGTCCCTGGTCTGTATCTAAGTGACGCATGTACCGAACCTGGGAATTGCCCATGGGAAGAGGGAGCCCAGCTGAGTGCCCACAAAGGAACTTCCATGCCCACAAAGGAACTCACCAGCGTGAGCTGAGCCTGCAGCTCTACCTCCAGGGCCTCGTACCGGCACCGCATCTCCTCCAGCACACCGCCCAGGTCCACAGCGGGCACCACATCCAGCTCAGTCTGGAGCTGGTCCCGCAGCTGACACTTCAGAGCGTGGACTCCCTGTGGACATAGGAGGATGTCCCATACATGGGGCCCCCACTGCCTTCTACTCAAAGCCTCACCTCCCACTTCCCATCCCCTCCAGCGATTTCCCTGCCCTCCTCTGAGGATGAGGTGCTGCCTGCGTCAGCATAGCAGCTTCCAGAGCCTTTCAGTGGGCGAGGTCCCACGGAAAGCCAGAGCTCCCCTTCAAGGCTTAACAGCGAGGCACGAGCTTCCACCCAAGCAGGAGGAAGAGCCTCACTGCTTCCTCCAAAGGAGCCTGAGTTCACCCCCAGGACGTCTCCACGTGTCGCACAAAGGGCCCCGCACCTGCTTGTGGTTCTTCTTGAGGCAGAGCAGCTCCTCCTTCAGGGACTCCAGCTGGGCCCCCAGGTTGGCCTTGGCGAGTGTGAGGTCGTCCAGCGCCCTGTGCAACCCACAGACGTCGGCCCCCTCCCCAGCTGGCAGAGCAAGTGCTCCGTCTGGTACCTTCACCAGGGCGGGCACAGGAGTTGGGATTAGAGAGCAGAGGGGCCCCAGGACACAACCTACAGCATGCCTTGCTGGCCTTCCCTCTGCCCTCCAGTTGTGAGTTGGCGTTTCCTGTATCATGCACTCACAGAAGCAGGGTCATCCCCACTCATTCAATACTAAGCACCTAAGACAAGCAGGCAGAGTGGCCGGTACTGAGGATACCAGGATGGACCGTGGTCAACGCTGCCCTCATGGGCAGATGGCCAAAGGGGAGGCTACAGAGCAGCCAGGTGTGCCCACTGTAAACCGTCCTCTTCCACGCCCCCAGCTGAGATGGACCCTGGATTCTCTCCCAGATTAGAAGCCAAACTGGCAGAATGAGAGAAAGGAAACGGCTTCCTTAACTCTGGAGGAGTGAGGCGTCCACAGCGCCCAGAAAAGAGACAATAAAATATAATGTCCTGGGCTTCCCTGGTGGCGCAGTGGTTGAGAGTCCGCCTGCCGATGCAGGGGACACGGGTTCGTGCCCCGGTCCGGGAAGATCCCACATGCCGCGGAGCGGCTGGGCCCGTGAGCCATGGCCGCTGAGCCTGCGCGTCCGGGGCCTGTGCTCCGCAACGGGAGAGGCCACAACAGTGAGAGGCCCGCGTACCGCAAAAAACAACAACAACAAATATATATATATATATATAATATCCTTCCCTGCTCCTACATTGGACCCTCTAGGGAGTATAAACCCTTTGACCTTCACATGCCTCCACTGTAGGCTGTGGACCATGATTTCTGTCATGAATAATTAGTGCTCACAAATTGGTCGAGCTGCAGTGTGGAAACACATCCTTTACCAAGGCAGCGGAGTTTCGCATGAAATGACCTCGGGGTAGGAAATGCGGGGCCAAGTTCTGGTTCTACCACTCGACAGCTGTGCAACTTCTAGCAAGTGCCATCAGGGCTCTGAGCCTCTGTGTCCTCACGAAGGAGATGCCTTCACTGCCCTGCCCCCCTCACCCGGTTCTTCTTACATAGAATCAAGTGGAGGATGCGTTCCAAATCACGTTGTAAATTATAAAAGTTAAACAACTGCAGGTGGCCAGGGGTGTTTTCTCAAGACCTTGGGCTTAATGCCCTCTGTTTACTCCTGCTGTAACTGTGGGTTTGGAATCTTGGTCGATTACATCTCCTATACCAAGTGCCTCACGAGAGAGAAGTCCAGGTAGATATCTGGCCCCTCCCCCAAGCGTGGTACCCCAACTCACTTGGTCCTATTGTCATCAGCAGTCAGCTTGGCATTGTCTATTTGCATGACCAGCTTGTTGTTCTCAGATTTGATGCACAGGATCTGGGAAAAGAAAGTACACTCAGGGATTTGCTTGTTCCCAGAGCCATCTATGGCCTCAGTCAAAGGAAGCACCATTGGCTGGGTTCAAACTACAACATCCTCTTGGACAACACAAACTCCCAAACATGTGAGCTATGCTGATGTGGTACAGGAGGGGCACATGCAAGAGGATGCGTGGCAAAAGGTGAAGGTATAGAGCCAAAAGAAGCAAGAGATGGAAGGTAGTAGCAAACTGAACATATAGCAAAGACTTAATTTTATTTTGCCAGATATGATGCTTAACCTTGTATAAACAAGATGTGGAATCTAAGCCACAGAACAATGGACTGGTTATTACACTTTCAGATAAGGTGGGATCCATTCTTAATAAGTCCCTTTCACCGGTTGGTCAACCTCCTCAAAGGTCTTCCCTGAATCTAGCCACAGCTCCATGGCCCTTAGTCTATTTTTTTTTTTTTTTTTTTTTGCGGTACGCGGGCCTCTCACTGTTGTGATCTCTCCCGTTGTGGAGCACAGGCTCCAGATGCGCAGGCTCAGCGGCCATGGCTCACAGGCCCAGCCGCTTCATGGCGTGTGGGATCCTCCCGGACCGGGGCACGAACCTGCGTCCCCTGCATCGGCAGGTGGACCCTCAACAACTGCGCCATCAGGGAAACCCAATTTAATTTTGTTTTTTGCCTTAGTCTTTTTTTTTTTAACATCTTTTTTGGAGTCATGGCCCTTATTCTGATATTCTTTGTCTTTCTGTCTCCAAAACTAAGATGAAGTCTCTTAAGAAGTATTGCATTATAACCAAAGGGGACAGCAGATATACATAAGAGACCAATATTACTGAATGGATATACACTGGCTCAAAAAGGACATTAGAACATACTCCCCTGACCCCTTTTGCTGCACCAGAACTTAGGTTGCACTGTTTTTCGCAACTACAATTTAGGAATTGTAAGCACTGAAACTCAGAATCCTGGGGAATCAAATCCTACATCTCATCCTTTTCACATTCACATTCACCTTCACTCAAGAGATTCTCTTCCCACAAGTTTTGGGGTTAGCAGATACAAACTATTATATATAGACTGGATAAACAAAACAAGGTCCTACTGTATAGCACAGGAAACTCTATTCAATATCCTGGGATAAACCATGATGGAAAAGAATATAAAAAAGAATTTGCATACATATTTTGCTGTTCTGCAGAAATTCACTTTGTTCACTTTGTTCTTTGTTCACTTTGCTGTTCTGCAGGAATTAACACAACGCTGTAAGTCAACTATACTTCAATTAAAAATAATTTTATCTGTGGCTCATTCCACTGCCAATCCAGACCCTGAACATTTAGTGCAGGGTCAGTCATCTTTTTCTGTACAGGGCCGGATAGTAAATCTTTCAGGCTTTGCAGACCATGAATCTCTGTCATGACTACTTGACTCTGCCATTGTAACACAAAAGCGGTCACAGACCATACGTCAGTGAGTGAGCATGGCTGTGTACCAATGCAACTTTATTTACAAAGTCAAGCAGGAGGCTGAATTTGGCCTAGGGACTGTTGCTTGCCAACGTGTGATCGGGAGCATCGCAAACCCCACTTTCTGCTGTAGCTCCTCGATAGTGCAGAAGTGGCTCTCATAGTCCAGACACACGGTGGCCTCATGGCATTCGCTCGACTCTTGGATCTGGGTCTCCAGCTCCATGTTGTCCCACTCCAGGTGGCGCACTTTCTCCAGGTAGCTGGCCAGCTGGTCATTCGGGAACTGCATGGTCTCCTTCTCATGGCTGTTAAGGGAGCCTTCGCCATAGGTTCCTGCAGATTCCGATGTCGCCAGGAATGTGGCAGGTCCCCAGCAAGGGGCAGGCGGCATTGCAGCTGTGGGCAGACAGAGGCTGGGTCAGCCCAGAGGGGTTGTTCCCACTGGGATTCAGTTGGCGTGTGCCAGAGTGGCTGAGAGACATAGGGGGGCATTGTTGACCTCTGCCCCAGGCTAGTCTCCAATGTCAATGGAGGAGACACAGATGTTTCTTGCTCCGGGAGTGTTGGTGCAGCCCAGGCAGTGGGATGAGCTGATGTAGGAGGAGGTTATGGTGGGCTGAGGATGCACAGGAGGTTCAGAGCTGCTGGGAAGGCCAAGCCACTGAGTCTGACAACCCTCTTCCCTCCCGGCCCTTTTAAACCCCATCCCAGGTGGGTGTGGCCTCCATGCTTTGACCTCCCTGCTTGATTCTCTACCTCCCGTTGCACCATCATCCTGCTACCAGCTGTTGAGTTTACCATTCGGAGTTCCTTATCTCATTAAAGGAATGTGGATGAATCTGAGGTGCCTCTTGGCTCTCTGATATCAGGTTGGCTGTGGGTGGGAAGTCAGAAGCTTTTTATTATTTTAAAAGAACAGAAGTCCTTTCAGCCATCAGATGTTTGTGCTTTGACTGGGGTTGGCCTCCTTGTTGATGTGTCCACGCAGAAGGCATGACTATTCCTGTTGGTCTTTGGAGCAGCAAGAGAGACAAACTTCTATGACTACAGTGGCATTGACCTGGGTGAGAACTCAACCAGCCTTCCCTACCCAGGGAAGAAATTGATTCTTAGTAGATGTTATGGGCTTCTTGATTAACAAGAAGTTCTGTATTCCTTCTTTCTTCAGTTGTTTGCCTTTTGGCCTCATTTTAAGGGGTAAAAAGACTATGAAGTCCATTCATTCAACACATCTCCTGGCACATCCTATATGCCAGGCTCATACCTGACACACCGTTGGTTACGTTCCTGTCCATCAGAAGCACAATAACTTGGGTAGACATGGGTGTCTTAAAAAGTGTCTAAGAAACTCATCAGTATGAGGGTGACTCTGAAGACCATGCCTGATCCAGACCAAAAACAGTGAGCTCAAGAAGCCAATAACAAACAAAACTGAACAATAATCTTTTGGAATATCATATAAGAACTTGACCATGAAACTCAAAAGATTTGTATTATCAGAGTCACTGCAACCCCTCTTCCTGCCTTACTTCCTTGATTCTAAAGTCTGTTATGATAGGAGAACCTATCATGTGTGTTAGGAGCACCTATCATGTGTGTTAGGGGATTTATCAACCATATTGTCTATATCCTTCCTACACCGTATAAAGTGGGTATTCTTATCTTAATTTTACAAAAATAAATAAATAAGGTTTTGAGGACCAGAGATGTGAAGTCATTTTTCTTGGCTCAAGCCATTTATAAAGTGTCAAAGCCGTTCTCGGTATCTGTTTCCTTCCACTTCAAAGCCTATTCTAATTCAACTTGACTTCCACCAAATCCCCTACCCTAGCCCCCAACAGGAGAACAACTGTGTCATTGCCAGAATTAAGAAGAATTAAAAGGCTCAGAAACTGGGCAAGAAGTTGAAATTAAGAGATAAACAAGGGGCTTCCCTGGTGGCGCAGTGGTTGAGAGTCCACCTGCCAAAGCAGGGGACACGGGTTCGTGCCCCGGTCTGGGAAGATCCCACATGCTGCGGAGCGGCTGGGCCCGTGAGCCATGGCCCCTGAGCACGCACGTCCGGAGCCTGTGCTCCGCAACGGGAGAGGCCACAACAGTGAGATGCCTGCGTACCGCAAAAAAAAAAAAAAAAAAAAAATACAGTACTGGCCAGATGAAACACATTTCAGGCTGGATGTGGTCCTCAGGCTGCCTGTCCTGTCTCTGGGCTATTTGGCCTCCATCCAATGTTCAGTGTGTTGTTGCTGGGTTTTGGGGGGTTTTTTGCGGTACGCGGGGCTCTCACTGTTGTGAGACCAGCTTCCCTTGAATAATGAGAAGATCCAGCAGTACTGAATCGTCATCATATGTGGTAGAAATGGCCCTGAGGAGGCAGCACCACCTTCACTGGACAAGCCATAGCTCCCTGGTTACCCACTGTCCCACAGTGACCCGTGTCACTCACGTATGGTCATGGCCTAGTTCTTGAAAAATATTTGACTTTGCAACCCTTGCCCTGGAGGGCAAGATTCTAAATGGCAGAGAAGCAAGGCTGAATGTCTACCTACAATCATCAGCCCACCAGGTGTCCAAGGCCCAGAGGTATCCTGCATCCAGGCAGCCACCAAGCCCTGCAATTCTGCCTGTACCACGGCTGGGGGCGGATGCCTCCACTGCCCAAATTCAGACCCTCCCCATTGTTCATTACCTAGACCACATCCAAGGCCTCCTGAATGGCTCCCGTGCCCAGCCCTTCCTCCCTCTCTCTACTCAGCCCTTCCTGTTGCCATCTGTGCCATCTTCCTGAAGAGCAGCTTTGAGCTCTCATTGACTTGGTCAAGAAACGTTTACTGAGCATCTACTATGCACCAGACGCAGGGGATAAAAATATTTTTTCTCTGAGTTCCAGTTGTTTACCATGTAGTGAGGAGCTAGGCAGTTAAGCAAATTCTATCATTTCCTCCTCAAAAAAAAGTTAAGGCCTCCCAACTGCCTATAAAATAAAGCCCTCTCTCCCCAGCATGGCCTTTGTGGTTCACCGTTGAATGGGGCCCAGCTGATCTTTCCTGTCCTCCTTTCCACCACAGCTCAACACATGAAGCTACATAATCCTTCCAAGTGCCCAAAACATCCACCCTTCCCCAGTATGATCTCCAGTGGCATGTCTGTCTCCCTGGAGATGGAAAAGGCTTGAGAACAGATGCTTTGCCATCATCCAGCTCGGTATCCCCCGTGGCACCTGGCACACGCTGAGCACTTAGAAGGAGTCTGCCAACTTGGAATGGAGCAGAATGGTCCCAATGGGCCAGGTGTGGGATGGCAGCATGAATACCTGCCTGACGTCTTCGGATCATCCCGGCTTCCTAATCCCTTATTAATCATGACAGGGGTGTACCTTATGGGTAGATCCAGCTGCTTCCTATAACCTCCTCCAAACCTCTCACAGCCCACGTACTTGCAGTCCTCGCTCTCCAGCAGCCCCCGGTACGTGTTGATCTCAAACTCCAGCCTGGACATCCAGCAGCACCCAGTACTCCTGGCTCTGCCGCTCCAGGTGACAGTGGATGTCGGCCAGCTGGACCTCCAAGCTGGTGATCAGGCATTGCATTTGGGCCAGCTGGAGGCTGTAGCGGGCCTCCGTCTCTGCCAGCGTAGATTCCAGAGAGTCTCTCTAAGGCAAAAGGAAAGACAAAATAGCTGTGAGGAGAGGACCTATTTTCCATGACCTTAGAAAGAACCAAGAAACAGCCACTGTGGAAGACAGTATGGAGGTTTCTCAAAAAACTAAAACTAGAAATACCATATGACCCAGCAATTCCACTCCTGAGTATATATATGAAGAAAACAAAAACATTCAGAAGGATATATGCACCCCAGTGTTTATAGCAGCATTATTTACAATAGCCAAGACATGGAAGCAACCTAAGTGTCCATCAACAGAAGAGTGTATAAAGAAGATGTGGAGTTTATGTACACAATGGAATATTACTCAGCTATAAAAGAGAATGAAAAAAAAAGAGAATGAAATAATGCCATTTGCAGCAACATGGATGGACTTGGAGGGCATTATGCTAAGTGACATAAGTCAGAGAAAGACAAATACTGTATGATATCACTTATATGTGGATTCTAAAAATACAATAAACTAGTGAATAAAACAAAAAAGAAGCAGACTCACAGATATAGAGAGCAAACTAGTGGTTACCAGTGGGGAGAGGGAAAAGGTAAGGGGCAATATAAGGGTAGGGGAAAAAAGGGTTATTATAGAATTATGTGAAATCACGCATGTGAAACTTCTGAAAATTGTAAAGCACTATAGAATTTAAAGAATCTTCCATTCAACTTTTTAAAAAAAGAAAGAAAGAAAGAGCCGAGAAGAGCCAAGTCTCTCCTTGGGTTTGGGAATGACCCCTCCCTACCTGAGTCACTGAGGAAACTGAAGCCCAGAAAGGTCAAGTGACTTGTTCAATGTTAAACAGCTGGGAAGTGACAGACCAGGGTTTGAACCTACATTCACGTGACGCTAAATCCCTTATTCCTTCTTCAACCTTACTCAGGCTTCAGGCCTTGGACCTGAGGTTCTCCAGGCTCCCCCGCTACAAGCATCACTGAGATCAGTGGTCTTCAACCCTGGCTGCACTTTAGAGTCATGTAGGAGACGCTAAAAAACACCCATGCCCAGGCCCCACCTCCAGAGACTCTGATACAATTCATCTGGGGAAGAACCTGGGCATGGAGAGTTTTTAAATCTGCACAGGTGGGGTTGAGAAGCATGGGTTTGGAAGGGCAGGCTTCCAAAGCAGAGGACAAGCCTTCTTGGAAGTGTTTGACAGGGGCCACCTAACCCACATCAGATTTGAAACATGGCCCTTTTATCTCTGAGCTGGGTCTTGGGAGAAACCTCCCTGCAGGAGAGGTCAGCTGGACAAGCAATGGTGGTGGTTAAATCTGGACCTCCTCCCCCTCGCCGTCCCCCTCCTCCCGCCTCTTCCTCTTCCCCCTCCTCCTTCCTGGATGCCTGCCCCTACATTCAGTGCTGCCTGAGATCCAGAGCTGGGAGACAGGTGCCCACAGGCACATTCACCAGGCTGTGTTGGGCCTGCAGCTCGATCTCCAGCGTGTTGACCGTTCGTCTCAGATCATTGATGTCTGACTGGTAGCTCTGAAGCTGCTCAGAGCTTGTGGCTACCTGCTGGTTAAGTGCTTCCATCTGCAATGGGGGAGACAGGAGAAGGCTGGGGGTGCCTCTCAGGGATCCTGGGGAGGCCAGCACCCTGCGAGAGGCCCGCCTGCCTGGTGAACCATTCCTCCGTGTCCCTGTGATTAGTTCTCCACCAGGGCCCCGTACTGACACCACATCTCTTCCAGAACCCTGTTCAGGTCCACGGGGGTTGCGGCGTCCACGTCAACGTTAAGGCGGTCCCCAAGCTGGCATCGGAGGGCATCGACTTCCTGAAAAGACACAAGAACACCAGGCAAGTGTGAAGTCGTGAGATCCTAGATCACCTCCCCAAGGAGATGTGAGAAGATGGAGCAAAGGATGCTAAAGATCTCTGCCTTAGAGGGGCCCTGTGAGGACTGCAGCCACTCTGCAGCATCCCGAGGGTCTTTCAGCTCCACCTGGACACCCCGTGATGGGAGAGGCTTCCTATAGCTTTGGCAGAAGCCAGGAGCAGCATCAGGGTTTGTTTGGTCCATTTGGACTAAAATGCGACAACTGTGCCCTGTCTCCCCGGCCCCCCTCCCAGCCTGCGTTCATCCGGGAAGGAGCACTGCAGGAGCCTGGCTTTACTTGGTTCAAGGCCCAAGTGAGAGCAGGCGCCTCCCAGGCTCCGCTGCCAAGAAGAGAAAGTTGTTGCTGAGGCTGCCGATACCAAGCGATAACTCCTCATTAGTGGCCTCCTGGGGCAGTTCCCAGTTCTCTGATCTAGATGGGGTGAGTCAGGTGCCTTCGGGCGCTCATTGAGTATGTGGTAACATTGTTACTTTACACTTCAGCCTAAGGAAACCCAGCCAGGATTCAGAGGCACTTGTGCTTTCAACTCCCAAGTTGAGAGGTTGAGTGTCAACCCAGGGAAAGAGGTAAAAAACACCAGAGCTCAGATGGGCTTTACAGCATACAGGTGCCCAGGGTGGAGGGGTTCCCCTCCAAGGACCTACAAGAGATGAGGAAAAATCAGAAAGCAGAGGGTCGACCTGTGGCTTTTAGATTAAGTGTATTATATGCAAACAGAAGAGAGGAAGGGGAACAAGGATGGGGAGAGAAAAAAAAGAAGAAAACCACTGCAGTTCACCTCTCCCTTAGACGAGATGGGGGCCACCCCCCGCAGTCCAGCCTAGCAGAGACGGACGGGCCATTCCATGTTGGTTCTAGAAAACAACCCCCTCCAGCCCTAGTGGGCCACTCTACCCCTGTTATGCAGCTCTCATGAGAAAAACAAGTCACCACAAGCCCTTGAGAGTCACGCCAGTCCAGGAAATGCAGAAGCAAAGGTCATTAGCATTTCCAAGCACCAACCAAAGGACAGGTGTTTAAGACCTGTGACTTCATTGAATTCTCACAGCAGCCTTGTTGATAGAGTTAGCCCCATTTTACAGATGAGAACATAAAGGAAAGGTTACAGAAGAGTTAAATAAATTGGGCAAAGTCACGTATACAATCTGTGGCCGACCTGGGAATTTCAGCCCATGACTACCCAACCCCAAATCCCACGTTCTTCTCACTGGGCTCCCCAGGACCACCTCAGCTGGACTTCAGGACTCACCTCCTCGTGGTTCTTCTTGAGACACATCAGCTCCTCCTTCAGGGACTCCACCTGCATCCCCAGGTCGGCCTTGCACAGGGTCAGCTCACCCAGCACCCTGCACAGGCTACTGGTGTCGGCCTCCACCAGCTGCCACATGGCCAGCCCCATCTCGTACCTGCGTCAGGACAGGGTCAGCGACTGAGGGGTGAAACTGAGTGCCAACCCCAGGGAAGACCTTGAGCCACTGGCGCTTTTCCTACTGTCTATGAAACTAACAGAAAGCTGCCCCCAAGCATGTGCCAGGAGACATGGTGCCTCCATCCCCTGGCCGAACTCACTTGGTGCTGAAGACATCGGCAGCCACCTTGGCATTGTCGACGTGCATGATCATCCTGGCATTCTCTGCCTTGGTGTACAGAACCTGGGGGCCACAGCACACAGAGGGGGTCCAGGACAAGAAGAAGGAAAAAGAACCCAACTGAGGAGAACCAGTAGTCCTGCAGCCATCCCTGCCGAAGCCTCTGGAACTCTGAGGGATATTCAGTGAACGGCAAGTCCTCAGAAAACGTGAGGTTTATTTTTCAAGCACCTGGGTCTTCATAAATCTGAATGCCCCATTTTGAATGCAACGAGCAACGTGGGAGGAAAAACTCTGTTAGACATGACAGTTAGAAGGGTCCTTAACAAGCACTCAAGTTTACCGAAAACTCACCACGTACCAAGGGCTGGGCTAAGCACTTTACCTGTATTAACCCATGGAAACGTTTTGACATAAGGACCCTTATTATCCCCATTTTCCAGATGAGGAAACTGAGGCCCAGGGAAGGGACCTCCTAGAGTCACGCAATGAATCCATGACAGAACTGAGACTAGATCCCAGGCCTCTTTCCACGTGAAGGGCTCTGGCTGAGCACTCGAATTATGAGATAATCCTGCGCCCTAGGGAAGTTTCTTTTCCCTGAACGTAGCTTAAGAAATGAGTGAGATTCAAATCTGGAAGGCCAGCTCTTTGGGTCTCCTTCCCAGGGAGTCTATTCACCGCTTGCCCTCACCTTCCGCTGGAGCTCCTCGATGGTCTTGAAATAATACTGCTAGTCAGGACCCAAGGCAGGCGCTTGAGACAGGGAGGCGTCTCGAATGCGGCTCTCCAGCTGTGCGTCGTCTCGTTCCAGCTGGCGCACCCTCTCCAGGTAGCCGGCCAGGTGGTTGTTCAGGAACTGCATGGTCTCCTTCTCGTTGCCATTGAAGGAACCCTCAAAGTATCGGCTGTAGGAACCCATGGAGCTGGAGATTCTGCTGGTCGGGCGGCAGCTGCCGGGCTGGCAGGAGCTGGCTAGGTGGGCCTTGGAGAGGCAGGTGGCTGGCCGGTAGGGGGTGGGCGCACAGACAGAGGGCACGCACATCCCGGGCTGGCAGACGTAACCCAGGCACAGCTCCAGCCGGCAGCTCGTGCTGCTGGAGCAGACAGAGGGTGACTGGGGGCAGCTTTTGATGGAGGCTGGGGAGCAGTTAGACGTCGTGTCGGAGAGGCTGCAGCTATGTGAATTGTCAGTGTCTGCCATCCCCATTCTGCTCGGGCCTTTTTATATACCCTTGGAGTCAGGGGGCTTAAGCTAGAAGATCACCAGGCCCAGAGGAAGCTGCTAATTCATTTGTAATTTGGTTTCCAATAAGGAGTTCCTTTCCTCGTGAAAGAGGCCACGCTTGTCATTTGGCTAAGGCAGGACTCTGGGCTCCCATCACTGATGACCGGGCGAGAGCCTCAGGATACATCTTCAAAGGACCAGCTCCAGGCCCAGGCCCTCATTTCTAGGGTGGGGCTGCCAGGCCTGGCTCTGTGCTGCCAGTGACATTGCCCCCTGCGGCCCCACCTGCTCTGCCTCTGAGAGAGGCCACAGTTCTGTGGGGCAGCGACCCCTCCTTTAAATGAGATCATTCCCTGCGGGAAGAGGAGGCCCGGCCCCTTAAGGAGGAAATGTGTGGGTGACGGAAGCTGCACCGATACTGGCAGTGGTGTGAATCCAGGGAGGAAAGAAAAAGAGCCTCTGAGTCTTATTAATGTGCACCATCTTCCTCCCAGGGGAAGAAAATCATATTAGGGAGGAGAGAACAAACTCAGCACAGCCTAAGAATCAGGGACCTCCTTTCAGCTGGATGCTACTGAGAAAGAGAGAGGTGAGGACCCCAGTCTCGGGAAAGGAAGTCAATGCCATGAATATCTCTGTGAGCAGATGCTCTGTCTCGACCATCTCTGGATCCTCCCCTTCGTTTCTCACTGCTCCACGTACAGAGAGTCCGATTATTGTTTGTTGAACAAGCTGGAACTGGCTCTGCCCTCACTTTCTGCAATGGGGGGGCTCACTCTGGGACCCCAGAGACAGGAGCAGAGTGAATCAGCTCCCTTGAGAAGTGACACTGCAGCCCTGGGATGAGCAAAGCCAGGAGACCAGGAGCAAGTGTCTCTGATTCTAGAAGCCACTGGGCACTTCTTAAGAAATCAGGAGGTGAGACCAGTGGTTTTTAGTCCTGCCTGTAATACTTGTGGGCTCACACACTTCATGTTTACTATGGGTGTGTTATATAGCCACTTTTTATTTACGCATCTTCTCAATATAATATTGAAGTATAAGTACTTTTCTTCTTTTTCATATATTTCTAGAAGAGTTGGTGAAGGGACATGGAAGGAAAAATGCCACCCAGCCCTATTCCCTGAAATGTGTTGCTTAAGAAAAGTCAAAATAGAGATGCTACCTTCTAACTAGCTGTGTGACCTTGGGAAAGTCACTCTACCTCTCTGGGCTTCAGTTCCCTCCTGCAAATTGAAAGCGTTAGATTAAATCATCTCTCAGTTTGATTTCCTGCAATAACCATAAATTCCAGTTCTTTTGTCTGTATTAACTGTTTAGAGAGGGCAGAAGGACGGGTGATGCAAATACCAACCACATGGAGTGAGACTCATCAGACCAGCCTTCAGAATCATCACCAGCACTTTTTGAATGTGTACAAATATTGCACTAAAGCGAGTCACACAAATTTTTAGGTTTCCCAGTGCATATAAAAGTTATGTCTACACTGTGCTGTACTCTATTAAGTATTCAGTAGCATTATGTCTTTTAAAAATGTACAGAATTTAAAATGTTCACTGCAGCTCTATTTACAATAGCCAGGACGTGGAAGCAACCTAAGTGTCCATCAACAGATGAATGGTTAAAGAAGATGTGGCACATATATACAATGGAATATTACTCAGCCATAAAAAGAAATGAAATTGAGCTATTTGTAGTGAGGTGGATGGACCTAGAGACTGTCATACAGAGTCAGAAAGAGAAAAACAAATATGGTATGCTAACACATATATATGGAATCTAAAAACAAAAAAGAAAAAAAATGGTCAGAAGAACCTAGGGGCAAGACGGGAATAAAGATGCAGACCTACTAGAGAATGGACTTGAGGATACGGGGAGGGGGAAGGGTAAGCTGGGGCAAAGTGAGAGAGTGGCATGGACATATATACACTACCAAATGTAAAATAGATAGCTAGTGGGAAGCAGCCGCATAGCACAGGGAGACCAGCTCGGTGCTTTGTGACCACCTAGAGGGGTGGGATAGGGAGGGTGGGAGGGAGGGAGACACAAGAGGGAAGAGATATGGGAACATATGTATATGTATAACTGATTCACTTTGTTATACAGCAGAAACTAACCCACCATCGTAAAGCAATTCTACTCCAATGAAGATGTTAAAAAAATAAAGAAGTAAATAAAATTTTTTAAACATGTACAGAATTTAATTAAAAAATACTTTCTTGCTAAAAAATGCTAATCATTATCTGAGACTTCAGAAAGTCGTAGCAGTAAATCAAAGATCACTGATCACAGACCACCGTCACGAATATAATAATCATGAGAACGTTTGTGAGAATTACCAAAATGTGATACAGAGATACGCGGTGAGCAAATGCTATTGGAAAAATGGCGTCAATAGACTTGTTCAATGCAGGGTTGCCACAGACCTTCAATTTGTAATAAAACACGTGGTGTCTGTGAAGCACAATAAAGAAAAACGTGAGAAAATGAGGTCTGCCTACACCCATTATTGTAATAACGTGTAGTGGTGGTTCTCACAACGTGGCCTCCTGACCAACAGCGTCAACATCACTCAGGAACATGTTAGAAAAGCGGTTTCTCAGGTCCATCCCAGACCAGCTGAATCAGAGACTCTGAGGGTGGGACCTAGCCATCCGTGTTTAAAAAGTCCTCCAGGTGATTTTGAGAACCACTGCGTGATAGGAGCATATATATCTTTTTTCTAAGTGTAATTTGCATTTCATTGTTTTTTCAGAGGGCAGGATCTCTTCAGTCTTTAAGGAATTAGCTCTGCGGGTCTAAATCAGAAGGAAGACAGAAATGAGAGTGGGGCAAGGAAAAGGTGGACGCCCATCCTCACAGCAGTCCTGGCGTCCTGCTGGAATGGAACTAATGATAGTTACCAGTTTTCAGATGCTAAGCATGTGCTCGGCGAAGCATCAGGGACCTTACAGCGCGGTAAGTGTCCTGTTCTCTATTCCACTGATGAGGAAACCGAGACTCCCAAAGGGACTACCACCCGTTAAAGCTCCCATAAGCAGTAAACGCTGGGGCTAGGATTTGAACCCAGGTCAGGCTGACCACATTCGGAGCCCGTGTTCGTCACACTAAGGCCACGACCCCCTTTAGCTGGCCTCCTTCCACCACTGAGGTAGGACAGGAGAGAGGCAGTGAGTGGACATCCTTCCTGTCCCATCCCAAGGCTTCCCTCCGACAAGGGTCAATCCCACCCCTGACACCTGACACACTGCCTGGCCCAGGGAGGCACTTAGTAAAAGTTTGCTGAGTGAACTGAATGATCCTGAGACCCTCATCTTCTTTAGGACCAAGGGGTTCCAAGAAGATGGGAGCTGAGGTGGTGCCGGGCACCAGGAGTGAGGGCACTGGGAGAACCCAAAACTCCAGGCCTTCCTTTACAGGGGGTGGGAAAGGGGAGGATTCTGAAATTGAATCAAGGTGAACCCTATTGGGTGCTCTTAAGGGTTGGGGGTCTCAGGACTACCTTGGTCAGCATCTTTCACCAATCTGTTCTCCACCTGGAGCACTGTCAGAACTCTCTTGACGCCGCTGAAGCTCCTTAGCCGTGCTCTTGGCATCTTATGAAGAGCATATGGCCATCTAGAGACAACTTGTCTTCCTTTCTATCTCAGAGAGTTTTGCCTTCATCCTTCTCCGTTTCCCATTGGGATCGGTGGGGCTTTTGCCATTTGCCTGGTCTGTCGAGGAGGGACATTCTGGGCACAAGTGAGTCTTTGGTCCGAGATGCTGGGAGCTCCCACTTCCATGCGGAAATGCCTTGGGACCCAAAGGCACCATGCACCTCATCAGAGGTCAAGAGCACATGAGAACACGATGAGTCTCTTAAGAACAAGACTGTCTGGACTGTGGCTGGAAGTCACAGTGGCAGGCTCACTCTTCCATCTCCTGCTTTGGATGGGCTGTGGGTTTTAAGGGGGTTTGCTGAACTGGAAGGGCTGTGTGAAGAGGCTGAAGATATCACGCTTCTAAAAGCATGGGACTTCTATGGAGTCCCCTGGGTATGGGATTCCGTACTGTTTCTCTTACAAGGACCACAGGCATGAGGCTAATGAAGTGGCCTAAAATGCTTCACATTATACCGATCTCAGCGTTAATCACCCTCTCCTGGGACCCCAGAGCGACCATATATACTGAGAGGGTAGTAGTAGGGGTCTGGTCACCTGTCACCTGTCACAACACTGGAACCTTGGAGAAGGGTCTTAATCAGGAAAGCTGAGCTAAATGCTACACTGTAGACCTCTAACCACCCCAAATAGGGGCACAGGGACCCTGTCATCCTCAGGGTCATACATGGTCCAACCTCCCCCATTCATCTGCCCAAGAGTCACCCCTCCACACCCAGCAGAGACACAAACCAACAATATCAGAACAGAGCTGGTTAGGCATCGAGAACCAGAGCAAACGTGCTTTATTGTTCCTCCAACAGGAGCCCTCTGCTGCATTTCAGACCCCACCAAAACAGCACCCAGAAGGAAAACCCGGCCCAGGAGGCAGCCTGAGAACAGAGACTCTGACCTCCGTTGAAATGATGAGAAGCTGAGGGCTTCAGTGTTGGCCAGCCTTAGTGACAGGCTTTGAGAAAGGTGAAGGTGTGGAAGGCTTCTCAGGGCCAGACCTGGGCCTGGGCTCTGCACAAAGACAGGGACTGGGCTTTAGGATTACGGTTGAATTGAGGCCAAGTCCAAGCCCTGGAGATAATGGCCTTGGCTTACTAGACCAGCCACTCTCAGAACCGGTCCCCCGGGCAGGGCACACAAATGAGGGGGGGCTACAGGTGGTGCGGGCTGCACCAGGCCCACAGGAAGCCGCAGGAAGACAGGGGAGGCATGACTTGGAGGACGAGTGCTCAGGGGCACACGGGTTACAGGGGAGCCTAGGAGAAAAAAAAGGCCAGAACACCATAGTTTTCCAGTTGCTGTTTTCAATAACCCAGAGCA